CGTAATTTTTCACAATAGCTGGAAGTCTTGGCCAGTAGTATTTCTGTTGGATTCTGGCCAATGTGCGTGTGTATCCGAGATGACCGGACGTTGGCTCATCGTGGCAAGCACTAAGTATCTCCTCACGGATTGACGTCGCGTGACAAGTAGGTGGGTGCTTCCTCTGGAAGAAAAGTTCTTCTCATAGAGAACACCACTACGTAAGCAGAATGACGGCAGGCCCCTTGCAAATCTTCTAGAGACGGTTGTTGTCTGGCCATTCAAAAATTAAATAAGGGGAAGCAACTGGCTGTCTTCCTTCTGCTTGCACAAAATCGTAGTAGTGTCCACGACTCCTGCAAACTCCATGTTGTCATCTTCTGTGTTGTCGTCGCACTTTATCGGTAACCTTGTTAAGCAATCTGCGTCGGCGTGCTGCCGCCTTGACTTATACAGGACCGTCATATCAAATTCTTAAAGGTGTAAGCTCCACCGTGCGAGCCGACCAGACGAGTCTTTCAGGTTGTTAGTCAGCAGAGGGAATGATGGTTGCTGACTACGTGGAAGGAACGACCGTAGAGGTATGGACGAAACTTATAATCGCCTATACGACAGCAAGACACCCTTTTTCTGTTGTGGAGTAGTTGGACTCTGCGCGGGAAAGCGTCCTACTAGCATATGCGATCACTCGCTCAGTGGAGTCTTGCCACTGGACGAATACAGCGCCTGAACCCACGTTGCTGGCATCTGTGCGGACCATGGTTGGAGCCTCCTCATCAAAGTGAGCAAGTACAAGCAGTGTCCGCAGGTGTTGTCGGAGATCATCAAATGCTGCTTATTGATCGTCGCCCCATATGAATGAAACGTGTTCTCTTGTGAGTCGTGTTAATGGCAAGGCTATGTGTGAGAAATTGGCAATAAACCTTCGGTAGTGTGCGCCTAGGCCAAGGAAACACCTGACTGCTTTCTTATCTGTTGGCACCGGAAATGTTCTGACGGCCGCAACCTTATCGGGATCAGGTTGAACACCTTCATGGCTCACCACATGGCCCAAAGATTGGAGCTCCTTGAAACCGAAATGACACTTCTCAGGTTTCAGTGTCAGGCCGGCAGACCTTATTGCCCTGAATACCGATAGCAGCCTGCTCAGGTGTTCCTCAAATGTTTTTGAAGAAACAATGACGTCGTCCAGATAGACCAGACATGTCTGCCAATTAAGGCTTGACAGAACGGTATCCATCAGTCTCTGAAATGTTGCGGGGGCTGAGCACAATCCGAATGGCAAGACTTTAAATTCATAAAGTCCGTCAGGCGTTACAAAAGCCGTTTTTTCTCTATCTCGCTCGTCGACCTCAATTTGCCAATACCCACTTTTGAGGTCCATTGAAGAGAAGTAGCGTGCATACCTCAACCTGTTGAGTGAATTATCGATGCGCGGTAATGGGTGTCGTCTTTCTTTGTCACATGGTTCGGCTTGCAGTAGTAAACACAAAATCACAAGCTTCTGTCTTTCTTTTTAACCAGCACTACTGGCGATACCCAAGGGCTTCTTGACGACTGGATGACGTCATCATCGAGCATTTTCTTCACTTGTTTCTGGATTGCTTCATGCTCTTTCGGTGATACGCAGTATGGGTTCTGTCATATTGGCGTTGCAGTCTCCTCCGTTATTATCTGGTGCTTCGTCAGTGGCGTTTGACTGACCCTCGAGGTCGATGAAAAACAGTCTTTGAACTGGTGAAGAAGATCTACTAGACGCTGTCTCTGCGCTGGTGATAAATCCATGCTTACGTCAATAGGTGGTGAGGCTGACGTGGCTTGCAGCTCATCCTGTTGCACTACACAGCACTCGCGGATTTCGGTGATCTCGTCGAAGTAGGCAACTGTAGTGCCTTGTGTAATGTATTGTCGCTCGTTGGTAAAATTCGTCAACAGAACCTTCGCTTCACCGCACACAACATTGACGATACTTCTGGCAATTGCAACACCGCGAGAAAATAGAAGTGTCAATACTTGTTCAGCAATTCCTTCTTCAGTATGCTGCGCGCTGCACGTGACCAAAACAAGGTGGCATGATAACGGAGGGTACGGTCACATCGTCAATGATGTGCAGGGATTTTCGGTGTAGCGCTGCACTTTGATCCGCTGAAAAGGTCAGTACACCGTCCGGTATATTGATGATGGCACCATATTCACGCAAGAAATCCATCCCTAAGATCGCCTGTTTGCAACACTCGGAAAAAATAACGAAAGTTGCGGCAAAGAATGCATCCCCTATCTTCATTCTTGCGGTGCACTTTCCGGTAGGTGTGAGCAGCTGCCCTCCAGCTCCTCTAATTTGTGGTCCCGTCCATTCCATTCTAACCTTCTTGAGCTTGTCTGCCAGACTCTCACTCATTATTGAGAAGTCCGTGCCAGTGTCGAACAATGATGTGACGTCATGTCCATCAATCGAAATTGTAACTTCGGCAGTAACAACCCCATCTTTCGTCGAATCATTAAAAATTTCTGTCTCTTCGCTCGGCAATATTGGGGGATTTTCAGCACTTCGACGATTCGCAACCTTCCCCCCCTGAGGTCGCTGCTTTTAGTGTCCCCGGCATGGACCGGCAGATCTCCCTCTCGGCATGTCAGTGGTGCTTCGTTTAGAGGATAAAGAATAACGCTCAGGAGAAGGTGAGCGCGACCGAAACCCAGGAGGAACATTCCGCCGGGTCATGACACTCGTGTCTACGTCAGGCGTTTCGTTGAAATGGCGTCAAGGAATAGTGGAAGGAAATCCTTGGTACCCTGCGATGCGATATGGGCAATACCGAATGTTCTGGCCTGCATCCTCATAATGAAAGCACAGGGGCCTATGGTCAGGGGTACGCCAGGTGTCAGTTTTGTGAAGTGGTGGCCGCCTCGGCGTCGAAGTTTCTTTGTAGTACCAAGGCACTGTCGGCAGATGTTGCTGGTGGTACTGATGGGGTGTCGGTATGTTAGCTGGCTTTCGGCAGACTATGTCTGCATAGCATGCCCTGGGGGTGCTCGTGTTCGGCTCAGGAAGCGAGAGTGCTTACCTGATCTCACGCACAACTTCTGTTACTGAGGCAAGTGCGCAGTCATTCGGTTCGACGACGAGCTTCTTGACCTCTTGTACGATTTCTCGTATCAGTTGGCGCAAAGAACCTTCATCGGGTGTCGTTGCGGTGGTCATGGGTCGTGGCTGCCGCACTGATTGGTGCACTGTGGGTTGGGCGGTCATACTGCTGGTAGCGTAGATGCAGTGTGCGTTCGATGGATGTCGCCTCCTTGGAGAATTCATCAACACTAGTAGGCATGTTTCGCACGAGACCAGCGAACAGCTGCTCCTTAACACCACGCATGAGGTGGCTAACCTTTTTGGCTTCGGGCATATTGGGATCTGCTCGACGAAACAGCCGTACCATGTCCTCAACAAACATCGTAACGGATTCATTTGGTTTCTGAATCCGTGACTAGAGGAGACGCTGTGCAATTTCTCATCTTTCGGTGCTCGCGAACGTGTCGAGGAACTTTTGCCAGAACTCGTCCCAAAACGACCACACGCAATTCGTAAACCATGTTCAGGCTCCGTCTTGGAATGGAAAATACACGAAGGCCAATTGCTGTGCGGCGTTCCACTCGTTAATGTTCGCTGTGTGCTCGAATTCCTCGAGCCAGTCATGTGCGTCCTCATATGTGTTTCCGTGGAAGTCAACCGGAAGTCGAGGGTTCAAAACAGTAACCTGTGTCGTGCTTGGGCTGGACATGTTAGGGCCAGTGCTTCGAGGCGCCATCATGCTTTCTGGCACGGGCACACTTTCCGGCAACGGACTGAACTCTGGGCTGAGGCCTAACAGGCGGCGGCTGCAGTGGTGAACAGGGGTGTGGATGCGTGGAAGTCTTTCTGGGCTAGAGTCGGGGCTGTTGTCCGGAGTCTTGAACATGTAGCCAGCGCTTCCCCCAGTGTCACAGCGCAGTAACAGCAGCAGTTGAATACATTACAACTTACTTTAATTGTACCAGAACACTGGCAAACTGATCGGATGAGAACCTCGTCTTTCTCTCCCGCTGTGCGTGCTCTTCGTTGTTCTCTTGGTGCTGCATATTCAATGTGGCAATATGATTCCAATTTTTTGTAGTAGCGTATACATTGGTCAAATGGGTTGGTGTAAAATGAGCACCTTGTGGAACACCACGCATCTTTCAAAGCTTCAACACATTAGGATCTCGCAATACTTTGCCATAAATCTTGTTGTCCTGCATTGCATGGAACTGAGGTATTGTTTAAGCACAACGATCAAGCAACAGGTGAAATAGTGGACGTGTTTTATGTTTTAAAAACGGACTGTGACTGTGTTAGACATCCATCATGTTGTATGATAAGGAGTATGGCTTTCTTCATATTCCCTACATTATTGTTAGTTTCACTATGCTGTAATCTTAGTTTTGAAAATAGTTAGGCCTCTTGTTCGACTGCACATATGCAATTAGTTGTTTAGTGCTTTTTAAATGTCATTCTGTTCAATAAAAATTCAGTTTTGAGTTAAGTGCTGCCCTGTCTATTCCTTAGTTGTTCTGTTCTCACTTGACGTGCGCTTAAAAAGCTTTTATTTTAAACATGAAGGGTTCTTTAGGCATGACTAAGTATTCTTTCTGATGTGCTCATCATACCCTATACTCCTAATTTAAAACATGCACTAAAGGATGTCTCCAAGATGTAGAAATGACTGTCTTCAGGCGAATGTCGCAGCACAAAGAAAGTAGCATAAGCACCACAATTCAGTTAATTATTTCTTTTTTTTGTGTACTTATTGCTGCTGAAGTAGGGTCATGACACTGGACAGGCTGTTTTGTTAATCTCCATTGCTTTATTTATTGGAATATGTATCTGCACATTTCTTACATTCCAATGTAGTGTACTGTATCTGTGCATTTTTTAAAGTGGCATTTTCAACCAGGAAGCATTACAAAGTGTGGCTTACTGCTATAAACACAGTATTTGTTTTTTTCAACAGTATGACCTGCCAGCAGTGGATGGTGACAGCAAGATGGTCGAGAAACTAACAGACTTTTGGTGTGTTAATGACATCTACACCTTTGAAAACATTGGATTTACCAACACCGTTGGTCAAACAAAGTATTTGGCCTGTGCTGACTGTGAACGGGGTCCAGTAGGCTGGCACAGTCTGGAGACTAGGAAATCCTTTGTTGCTCTTTCAAGAGTGCGCCACCTCTGAAGTCCTTTTTCAACACCAAAACCTCAGTTTGGTACATTTTGTGGACACAGAGTGCCTTGGTGATGGTGTGTGTTGTGCCTAATTCCATTAGCCTGTGAAGATGATGATGCACTCTCACAGGTTGCTGCCTACCAGAGACAACTCGAAGTTGTCTGTGCAGCTTGTCATTTAAAATCGTTCCTATTCGTTAACCAAGCAATTAATGTCTGCAAAAAAAAGTGCCGTCTAGTTACTAGAGGCATTTTTTCCCTCCGTCACGGCATACAATGACATGGCGTCGACATATGATGACGATGAGTCATCATTTATATTTAAGCAATAATTGGGCTGTTTTGTTTGACAAATAGCTGACATGTTTAGTTAAAACCATTCATGCAGTAGGCTGCTGCTAGTAAAGAATATAACAATAATTTTTGAATTATAGGCATAGCAGACATAAATAAATACCCTGAGACAGTAGAATTCTTTGTGTGGCAGGCATTGTGTGAATAAAATTGCAGTTTTTTGTTTCGTGTTAGTGATCTAACTTACTTCTGCTGTCAATTTTCTCATGTCAATCATATTAGGCGCTCAGTGGTGCGATCTTGTTCGCATTTCAAATTCGGATGGAGGCATTCCGTTTCATCGAGTTGCATGGGGTTGAGCCATTTCAGCCATGACGACTGACGTGACATTCTATGTCGCGTGAGCCAAGGTGTTTCGTGTCTGTTTTCGTCGTTTTTTTTTGGATGGAGGCGAAGGAACGGTCAGAGAGATTATCCGAAACGAAACGAATGGATTGAATTGTAAGCGTTTCGCGCCTTTTCAGTGTCCGGGCACTTTGAGAACATGAGGTTTCCTTTCTCTGCCATGGTTTTTCGTCTCGCCTGTGTGGCTTCTGTAGCCGAGGAGACACAATGAAGCGAGCTAAATGATGCATTTGAATAGTTGACTGAAAAATAGTTCTGACAATGTTTTCGTTTGTTGAAACGAATAGTGCGTATCTTGTGCGACGAACTTGGCTCCATCATTGGATGCCAGTGGCCTGGAAATATACACCATTGTCGAAGAACAAATCGCCCAGACCATTCGGTGGTCACTCAACTTTGTGCCTTTGATAGTAGCGGTGTTGCAATAGGCCTCATGCACTTACGCTGTGGCTCAGTTTTTCCTTTGTTGTCGTGGCCACCATGTCTGTCTGTCCGTTGTCATAGACAGACAGACACTGGGACAGACAGCTGGATGCACGGACGGAGGATTCATGGTTTACCGATGAAACCCTTTCAGACTTTGCCCCACTCATCGTCATTCACTCCTGCTGTGATTTTTTTTCTGGGCAGGCTCTTAACGATATAGCACGTCACTTAGCTCCTGCTACAGCAGCCACTGGTCTGCGAAGATGAGGCCGTGCCCCAGCTCGATGGCTTTCACTGCAAGCTGGGGATGCTCCTTCATGAAGGCGAGCTCCACCGCGCGCTGAGCCATGGAAATGCGGAGGAGCCACCCTTTTCGGCTTCCGGTTGAGGTGCCCTCTGCCGTGCTTTCACTCGACTGAGCCAATGGTATTGAAAGTCTCGGCATTTGAACTTAAATAATGGTGGATACATGAGTAGAGCAATTGCTTGAAAAAGGGTTGTAACTAGTGTCACCACTAAACGTCCTGCTAAATGGTGGTGCCGCCTAGCATTGTTTCAAAACGATAAAGGAAAAATTTGTTTCATTTGCGCCCCATTACATATTTAAAATTTGAAAATTAGTAGTAACACATTTTAGTTGTGAACAATAATAGTTAAACATTCCTCGACATGTTTGAAATGCTTTTCAACTTGCTATATGGTCCCCAGGCTGACGTCAAAATTATGACACAGTCTTGCATGTACCTTGTTTGCTGTTCGCTTCCCCTTGTTCTCGCGACCGATGCGCACCGCCCACTTTTTCACGCAACGAATGGAACGCCTCCGTCCGAATTTGGAACATGTACAAGATTGCACCACAGAGTGTACTATTAAACAATGTATCTCGATTTCTTGATGCTGCTATAGGATATTGAGTTACTCAAAGTAAAGCTGTATTTTATGCAAAATGTCAGTGATGAGGCGTAAACTTAGTAGCCGTTGTGCTTTGAAGGGTAATCCACATATTTTAACCGCATATTATACACATTATGTTTTACATGATGTTGAATAGCCTTAAATTAGTCCAGTTAAATTTTTCATGTTTCGTATTGTGCTCAATTGTTATTTTGCAGAAATGTAGATTTGGGACATAACCAAAGCAGTAATGGGCTGATGCTTGGTATAGATGTTAAGGCATTCATTCTATGTTTCTAGATAATGAACAAAATGTAGTTTGCACCATAAAAAGTATTGTTTCTGTCTATTCCTTAAAACATCAGAATTTCGTTATTTTTCCTGAAGTCATACCTGTTATCAGAATAAAAGAACTCTCCATCCAATTTTAGTTTTTAATTTTAACTGTCAGCGTTGTTCCTGTAATAATATTACCATGTTCTTTCATAGCTCTTTTTCTAACGCACTGTGAGTTGCAAATTTTTTTTGCATAGTGAATTGGGCACATGGGAGTTGTGCCACTGCCTAGCCCTCATGTGGTGGTTACGTGACATGCCCTTATTGCCGAAAGGTGGAAGTTTGGTTTACTGTTGGGATATAATAAAGAATTGAAAGGTATGCTGACCAAGTTACATTGACTTTGTTATGTATTTGTACTCCTACTAAGAGGAAAGAAGGCGATGCAGACTGGTTGCGGCTGTCTTCGTAGACATTAAGGGTGACTACGATAATGTGCTGCATTATGCGTTCTTTGATGCACCGGAAGATTTAGACATCGGTGGTGGACAACGGCATGCTTGGATCATAAGTTACCTTAGTGACCGCACTGTATACATGTCGACAAGTGACAGAGACACCGGTCTATACAAACTTCATCTTGGTGTGCCCCAAGGGGGAGTTCTCAGCCCGATTCTATTCAACGTCACAATAATTGGCCCAGCAGCAAAACTTCCCAACACGGTGAAGATCAGTGCGTACGCTGATGACATATGCATATGGGCATTCGGAACTACTCGTCCGCAATTGCGTGCTCGACTACAGCGTGCAATGACGATCACAGCCAATGTCTAAGACGTCAGGGGCTCGCTCTTTCATTTAGCAAATGTGCAGTGCTTTGCATTGATGAGTAAGCATATATCAAAATACCCTTTATTTATTGATGGAATCCTGATACCTGCTGTAACGCACAAGTTTCTTGGGATTGTCATAGACAGAGAAGTCAAGACGTGTCACAGTAATTGAATAAAAATTGAAGAGGTTTGTTCTTGTTCTTCACAACGCGGCAGGAGCAAAATGGGGCCCATCAGAATCATCGCTACTTCAATAGATGACCGGTAAAATGAGAAATCGCAGGGAACTGTGGGATGCGACGGCTTCCGGTTCGACGCACCACGCTCGCTGGTCAGCAGCGGCACGCGCGCTGTTTTGTACTGCTCTGTTGAAAAAAAAAAAGCACCTGGCCGTGCAATGTCAGTGCTTTAGAAGTTTTTTTTTTTTTTTTGTGCCAACCGTGACTGTGACGATGACAAGCTACAAAAGCCATGAACGGTGCGGAACCTTTTTTGTAGCACTAAAATGATCTGCAATGCTTTTATGCTGCTCGGGGGGGGGGGGGGGGGGAGGGCTGTCAGTTTGGCCAGCAGATCAGTCGATACGTAAAACAGTTTTCCTTGTATGATACGGTAGTGCAGATAAAAAGTCACTAATTTGAAGATCTCGGGGGATAGAAATGACTGTAGCAGTGTGCTAAGAGTTCATTTCGGGATTGCTGCTTCGGCCGACATCGTCAGTCGATCGGCATTGAGCGCGTTGAGATTTTTTTTTCTAGCTTTCAGCGCGCTATAACCTGCATTTCTTAGGCGAAGCCAGATGCTTATTTGAACGCTGATCTTGTTCAGGCTGTACGGCATGGCGGCACTGAAACAATACAGTCAGACATAAATGGTTCCGAATAGTCAAAACCCAGGGCTTGCTTAACGCACTTCTTACTTTGGGTGCCGTCCTGGCGCACAGTTTGACCAAGATAAACGCAAATGCACTCGTCCAGCGCTTCGTGTTAACTTACTCTTGAGTGAAGCTTTCGCGTTTTTGTTATGTATGTGGGTGCAATGGCCGGCGCTTATTCCGTATGGCAGGTAGATTTCGCCATCTCGTTCCCATAATATTTTTGCTAGGCAGCCTGCGCGACAATTTGTTTCTCAATATAGTATTCGCAGCAAATTCATGCGTAAACTTTTTTTTTAGTGTGGAATACACACGTACCTGAGATAAAATGGTTTTTGCACACTCTGGCTTCAAAGTTCCGTTCTCAAAGGCTACCTGATGATGATGATGATGACCTTCAGCTTTGCTGGCACTCGCCCACAAAGGGGGATCGGCCAAGACCTGTCGCTGTGGCTCTCATCACAGTCGCGGCGCACCTCGTTTTTGTCTTCATTACATGAGAATTGATACCCGCATTTGCCTTGCACGCTCGAGTTGGAGCAGCAAACGGCTGAACAACCGACCCTGGTTTATCAGCACGAAGATAAACGGGTGACCAAACGTGCGAATCCCGGATAATCTGAGGCTTGCAGCGAAGCGGTTTGTCGCCGTCTATTCCTCTCGAACCGGAAGCCGGTATCAAACGGTGTATCCCACAATCCCTCGCTCTTTTACTTGTCACCTGTTGTACAGTGCTCTATTTGTGGGATACCTACGATACAGCATGCCAATGCTGTCCAATATGAGACCTCGTAGTGTGAAGACTCTAGAGAGCGTTTAAGCTCAAGGCTTGCAAAGATGCCTAATAATGTTTTGTAAAGGGCTTCACCCTGTAGTTCAGAATGATGGCGCAGAGTTTTTCTAAGTACTGGGGTTCAGGAACAGGGAGGACAAAATTGGTGGGAAGAAATAACTAGAAAGAGGTTATCTGATTGGTGGATAAAATCAAAGCATGATTAAAAATAAATCCTTCACTGCAAAGTACCAGTCCTCAAGTTCACTATTTAAAGAAAATAAAGATAAATCTAGGTTGTGGTTCATTAAGTATTACAGCTAGATGACTTTAGCTGCCACCCGATCAAAAGGGTACAGCCATATCAATCCATCCATCCACTCATTCGTTTTAAAAAGGACAGGCATCGTTATAGTACAATGTCTAGAAATATACTGCCTTGTGCGCTGAGCGCGTGCATTTTGTACGAGAGAGGCTGGCCGCGCATGTGATGACTGCACTAAGATGCCTCAAGCGACGCTGCGTGTCGAGAGGGTGCACGAACGTGCGAAATTCCTCTCGTCCTGTTGCTGCCGGAGCCTCGCAACGTTTAAAATCGGTGTGTGACAGCTGCAATCTAATTTACTGTGAAGTTCGACGGCGCCGTATGTATACTGCAACACCCTGAGATGTTAAAAGCTAAGCGGAAATGCAAAGAAAGGACTTGTATTGTGCCGTTGTGTCAAAGAACTTATCGGTCGAACAAGAAAAAAGTGTCTTGTTCCCCGCACTAACGGATCCAGCATGGTTTCCTGAATGAAAAAGTAAGATGAAGAGTATGGTGGCTAGAAGGAGAGGTGTCAGCATCGTCCCGGCCGCGCCTTGAAAGGAGGCGTGCTGGTATTTCATTTCGCCGTGGAGCGGCGCGCAAGTCGCCACCGTGATCGGTCAAGGGCGCTTGCCAGCCGCTCGGCACATTTAGTCGCTTGCTCGTGTGCTCCCAAGTCGCAACGTCTGCGCTTTGCCTATTTGGACTTGTTCGGGCTCAATACGTGTCATTGTGACCATACAACAGTGATGAGTAAACAGCACAGACACTGCTTTGGGCCTGGATGCAATGCGGGATATGCTTCGGCCCGCAAACAAGGGAAGAAAGCGTCTCTCTTCTCTGCTCTTGCTGACGATGAACAGCTCAACGCCTGGGAGCGTACGATTTCTCATGCTGACAAACCACTGGAAAAGAACTGCGTTGTGTGCGAAGCTCATTTCGACGAAAGATTCATCATCCGTAGCTACAAGCATGTTATCAACGGGTTGTTAGCAACATGGGATAAAGCTGCACCTAAGGAGGGTGGGTTCCTGAGTGAATCAACTGCCGAAGAACTCCGCGTCACTCTAACCAGCACCCTTTTCATCCGACACTATGTCACGAAAACCTTGGGCTATAAATACTTGATGACGTCTCTCCTCTGCCAAGACGCACTTACATTTTTTTTTGAATTTTGAACCAAATGTCTGGCTCGAATAATCACCCTACGCCGACACACTTATTAATCTCTGTGAATTGCCTCAGTTTTTACAGTTTGGCACTGTCACCCTCCAGTGTAAACATGCGTTCTGGAGTTCTGAGCAGCCTTATATGTCCAGGCATCCAAATAATTCAATAAAATTGCAGAATAAGTTGGATGAGCTGCTAGATGTGCGGTGGCTCAATGAGGTTTATGAAATTATTGTTGCTTGTGAAGCCCTCCCTGACTACACTGATCTCATTGGATGCAAAAAATGACTCCCGGATCACTTATTACGTCAGTGGCTAGGTGGCTTGGAAGATGGTGAAAAGGACGAAGTTCAACGAATGTAGCAGGTTGCTGCTTCACTCAAAATTCCAGCTTGCTTCCGGTAGAATTATGCCTTCTGTTCCCGTCCGAGTCCTTAACAGACCTGGTCAAAGCTATGAACTATGCATTCACCTATTGGTTCAGTTTCAACAAGTTGAAAAGTGACATCATAATAGACTTTATCTCTTGCCTGTCTGTAAAGAGGTTATATATGGTCGGCTGTGAACACCACAAACTGGAAGTGACAAATCAGATCATTAGATTTTTTACACTGACCAGAATGCGTTTTCTTGTTGCTTAAGAAAATGCGTCCAATGAAAAAAAAAAAGAGAAAAATGAAGTTCATAAAATTGAGACGTATAGCTTAACTGTCATAGAGTTAACTCAGTGAACAGGGTTTTATTTTATGTTATTGTGCATTACTCGCACTCTGTTTTTTCTTGTGGTTTTACTATTGTCTCGTTTGTATTGTTTTAAATCTCCCATTAACAACTGTGATGCCCCTGTCTGGCTGTGTTTCACATATGCAGAATTGGTTTGTGACTGTATGTTTGCCAATCAAATCTCAATGTTATGTGTGTATGTATGCCCATTGTATCATCGTAAATTTACTGTTCTCTCTAGTTGCCTTATTGACTTGCTTTAGCTGAGTTTCATATAACTTGCAATTTTCTTCAACCTTAATGCATATATTGTGTTTATTTTTCATGTTGTTTTTCGCTTTAGAGAAAATAAATGTCTTGCTTGTAAAATTAGACCTTGATTCCACAAATTCTAAAAATAACGGTTGCCGATACCTTTACATGCATTGAGACATCACGGAGAACACTGCGGCATTAAATTTAAAAACTGCACGGACTTTGTTTTGGTGTCAAGCTCATGGCAAGTCACTTGATTCTCTATCTTCTAAGCTTCGTAGCTGATAGTGAATTGAAAACACGAGTTTTCAGTGCAAATACACGCTTTGCAGCGCACCGCCAAAATTGTGACAGGTAGACTTCGTTATAATCCGCAGGGTAGCGTGAAATCTTTGCAACAAAAAACGACTGATACGCGCGAGGAGGGGCATCTCGAAAGCGACCGCAGCGCCGCATTCGGA